GGGGGGGGGGGGTGTAAGTCCCCACCACACGGCCTGGTGACTTACTGCAAAATATATTTCAGGTAATGAATCTGAATTAGTAAAGGGGGAACAAACCCTTAAACACTGTAGTTTTATTGCCCTTCTTATATTTGGTTTTCCTTCATAAGCCTAATTCTTCTAAAGTTTCTCTAGTTCTAAAGGAGCATGACAAAAATTTTAATTTAGAAATTATTTGAATATTCAGAATGCTTTTATTAATTTGGAACTCAACCCTGATAAGCACCCTGTGTCATCCATCGAGAACAGAGGCTTAGGGACCAGCATCTGGGTGATGGTTCTTCCAGCAGCTGCAGAGCCACACTGACCAGGGGATGCATGGAAAGGCCTCTGCACCTCATTATCTGTCCAATCAGCACGGTAGGAAGGCACCGCCTGCATAAGGTTAAGGGGCAGAACAGCTTAATTACAGTTTCTGAGGAGATCTGTGACATCTAATATGTCACTAATTGGATCACATTTGTGAAGTGGGAGGGATGAACACCAAGTCTGATAGACAGCTTCTGCAAATTTATGCTACACATTTGCAAAGCCCTTGGTCTCTGGGGTTACCTGACTCTAAAGACGAAGCCAAATCAAGTTCACCTGTAGAGGGTGATCTGGGTACACCCAGAATTAGGGTTAACCACTGAACAAAAACTGAGAGTATTGATTCTTCTGTATTTCACTAGCAAATATCTCAAGAGCTCCTAAAGGTAGAAAATCATTGTAATATTTCTTCTGTGTCCTTCACAGTCTCTGAGTCTAATATAAAATAGATACGAAGAGAAAAACACAGAGAGGTAGACAGATAAATAGAAAGATAAACAGATGACAGACAGATGGGTTGATGGATGTATAAATGCATGAATGAATGTATGGATAAGCTCATCTTGACTGACTGGCATATTAGCCACTCTAGTGCCATGAAAAATCAGATAATTAAAGAGTTATAAGGGAATGTAGTAATCCTTTTGTTTAATCTCTTCATTTAAAAAATTTAACATGGGAAATCTAAAATTATTTAGAAGCCTGTACTGCAAAGTCTTGCCTAAGCATTTTGGGAGAAATTCAGAATTAAACACAATTAATGCATCATGCTCCTTCAGAGATCACTATGCAATGATGCACTGGTTTTAAAATCAAGACACCAACATGAGAGGCTGTCCGATTATGGCCCTGATGTGGCATCAAATTCTAAAATAATGTTCCATGAAAGAGAGTTTACTCTCACTGCGCAGCTGGGAGACTTGCCCCAGTAACGCTTACCTCTGTCCCCCGAAAGGCTTTCTGAACATTACACAGCACAGGATGGTTGCTGATAATTCATTATGGGAATGGGATCCATCCAGAATCACAAAGCGATGCTCTTCCGAGCATTTAACATAAGCAAGTTACATGCACAGAGGGGCCACAGCAAGGTATTCAAGCGGTTAAATTAACACTTGAAAACAGAAGAAATATTTTAAAGCTTCACTTGCGAGGCTTGTAACCCACCTTCAAACAATGTAAACAGAATATGGAAGGTTAAGAAAAGCCAGGGGTTTAGAATAAAAGAACTACATATTTTTCTGTAAGTCAAAACACCATCAAAAGCCTAAAATGCGCCCTTTCAGAAGAATCTTCCAGACGACGGTTACAAAACCTCATATCGGCACATAATCAACGATTAGTCTTTCTGTATACAACATCCAGTACTCAGGACAAAACAAATTCACAAATAAACAAAAACATTTATTTATTTACTTAATTCCTTAATCATTGATATTTGAATACCAATTTTACCCTTAACTGGGCATTTCTTTAATGATACAACCCACAGAGATAATATAGGCAAACACTTAATAATGTATATCACATACATTTCATTTCTTTACAATGTTCTCTAACCAAGTAGTGGCCCTAACTATGGAAGCAAAAATATTTCTTTAGATTATGATAAACAGGACTATTTGAACCCTCTGATAGGAAACAGATTTAGAAAAGTACCACCAGGAAGTCTTCAGCAACGAAATTGGTGCTAGAATGGATTCATCTTCTCTGGGCCTCGTTGACATAATTTTGGTTTATTTTTGCACAGCATGTTTACCTAACCCTACATGGACACGGCAATGTTTTCCCTGAAGGAGTCCTGACCCTTTTCCTGAAGGTGAGTAAGTGAGGTCAGCAACAACTTCCCTACTGTACCCCAAGGCACAGGCTAGATCAACAATGTTGACCATTCAGGGAAAGCAAATCCACTGTTCCTTTCAGAGTGAAACTGGACTTCAAAGACAGTCAGGATTGATGATCAGGAGCTCGGCAGGATTACAACCAGAGGTTTAGGTTTTGAAAACCAGGAATCACAACATTTACACACACAAAAAAATAGGTATTACCTAAAAAATAATCCAACCAGATAATATCATCAAGGGTCATTACTGATATGCAAATATGCTTTGAGACAGTTTGTAAGGCATCTGGTGAGTTATTGCAGTTAATTAGTCTATTCATAATTTAATTTATTGACTTCAATGAATTATTCAATTAATAATTGATAGACTACATATTCTTTCAACAATTAGTCTCAGAGGTTTTAACTGCTCTATTAATAATTATGAAATCACCACTTGGTCTGCAGCAGCATTTACTAAGTAAGAAATCAATGCCAGTAATGTTTTTTCCCATTTTCTGTGATT